AGCGCGATTCGCCATTTGATGCCATTCAATCTCGGATCGGATAAACGGAAAGTAATCCGTGCTGAAATGGCAGCGATCTGTAATTAGCTTTTTTTCCTTTTTTTTCTACGCCGTTGTACGATTGATGCAATTGTGAAAAAAAAAAAAAAAAAAAATAACGAAAGGACGAACGTTGGAAAAAAATTTTCGTAGTATCGGCGTAACGACGTCGACCTATTGATCGGATAAATTTATCCCGAAATACAGGGCAGCGTTACGTATTTGGGAATTGCGTTTTTAATTGCAACGTTTCACGATCAATTCGAAGGATAGGACAATCGCGCCTAGGATGAGAAATCGAGGAGGAATTTTTATTATTATCGCGAAAACGGGATCGATTAATAAAGCGGTATAATAAAGAGAAACGGAGAAAAGTTTTCCTCGCGATTCGTATTTTGGCCAAGGTTCGAAAACCGCCTCGACGACAACAATGATTTGTTCTTAAAATTTGCGAGATCTAGTGCCTCGCAAATGATGGAAAATTTAAATACGTACCTGGAGTATCTGGCGCACTCGTAAACTATTTCGGGAGCGGTATTCGCCGCCCTTATCCGTGGATAGTTGCACCGTCGAAAGGAACCAAAATACGCGTCCGCCTTTCCCAGTAGTCGTCCCTGAAATCAGGAAAGCACGTATCGCGTATCGACCAACTCGACAACCACCGAAAGTAGTTTTTCGAGAAAGGAAGAATTCTCGAGGATCGAGATATTTTTGAAAAACTGTTTCCATACGCGCGTTGAGCGGACGGTTTCTTTATACACAGGGAGAGAAGGGGGGATGACAGTGTTTCGTATCTCTGGAACCCTTGATTCGGAAGCAAAACCGTTGACCCGGTGCCAAGTAGTTCTTTTCTTCTTGGGAGCGAGAGATTAAGTTTTACCGAACGTTCCACGTTTCTTGCGATCGCGAGACCGATCGTAAAACGCTTCGCCTCGCCTCGTTTCGTTTCGTTTCGCCAGTGGAATAAAGCGGGTAAAAGTCGGACAGGATTTCCCGGTGTATTATTCTTGGCCGAGACACCGAGGCAAATTCGATGGGTCTGGCGGTAAGAATCGGGTCTCGAGTAAGAAGCGAAATTTTTCCTCCCGTAAATCATCCTCTTGCGTTCCCCGGGAATTTCTTGGAATGTGAAAAAAAAAAGAGAGAGAGAGAGAGAGAGAGAAAAAATCCTTAATTAATCCCAGCGCGAAAGTAGGAAAAGGTGGTCGTAACGATCGCCGCTCGTAGAGATTGTTTTTTCGCCGAGAAGGGGGAGGGGGAGGAACGAGAGGAGATTTCTCCTTAAACGAACGGATCCGACTGCTTCTTCTCTCGGACTGAACACGTAGAGATGCTTCTCTACGCGAACGAAGAAGCGAGCGCAGGAAGGCAAATGTAAATTCACTTATGCATTTATTCATCCCGCTACTCGAGTATTTTCAAAGCCATTTAGAGCCCCCTTCTGCGTTTCGCTGCTCCACAAGGGATATACGTGTGTGTATGTGTGTATATATATATGTATATGTATATATATATATATATGTTTCGAAGGGACACTCGTGCACGGATGCCGCGATGTCGAAATTATTCATCGACTGTTTTTACGCCCGTTTCCCCTGTCGGTTTAATCACCAGCCTTGCCGCTAATTTAACCAACCAATTCGTCACGATTCCTTTACTCGTCGTCGTCTTTTTTAGAAGAATCGAGGTTGGTATATGGAAAAAGAAAAAGGAAAGAAAAAAAAAGGATAAATACTCGGATCGGTAAATTTAATTCCGTTGAAACTATCCACGTACGCAATAAGAGGGAAGAGAGGAGAAAAGTGTTAAGGAAGACGAGTTTTTTCCACGAGAAAGTTTCTTTCTTTCTCGTGGACGAGAAGAAAGAATTTCCCCTCGATTCCTTTTTCAGCGAGCGAGCAAGCGAGAGAGAGAAAGAGAGAGAGTGCTCGAGCCCAATTTACGAAACAAGCATCGTTCCCTCCGTTTCTCTTTAGCCGGGTTAAGTGGAGGTTCGCGATCGCGGGGAGATCCACCGCGTCGATGACGTCGGGCGGTCGTCGCGAGCCCTCTCCACCGGAGAGGTTGGAGATTGCGAGTTGGTTTACGATCTAATTTGGCCGGGAAGGAGAGGGGAGAGGGGAGAGAGAAGCCGCCATTGGCCAGGTAACACCGACCTATTCCTACGAGTTTCAAAGTTGCCTCGTGTCGCTCTCTCTCTCTTTTTCTCTCTCTTTCTATCCTCCGGTAACGAAGGTAGTTCGTTTCGCCTGGCTGGATGACCGAAACTTTTTCCAAACTCGTCGTCTCGTTATCCCGAAAACGGGAGTGGGCGACGCGTACACGCGAGAACAAGTTGGAGAGCGAGAAACTCTTCTCGAAACTCCTTCGGTCGTTGGTTGGTTCGTTGGTTCGTTCGATTCCGTAATTGGCCTATTTCGAAACGCGTTTCGTTGACACGCGCAGTGTTCGATTTTCATCGGATGGATAGATGGGGAGAAAAATCCAAGACGATTTACATTGGATGGAACGAAAATTGTTGGGATTCGAAAATGGAATTTACCACTGCCACCGCTGATGAGCGCGGTTTCGGCACAAAGAGAGGGAGGGAAGG